ATTCTACTGTTTTCTAGTAATTGAAAAAAAAAATTATCCGGAAAAAAATACTCAATTCCATAATAATAAGCTTTTGATTTTTATTTTCTGATTCCCATCAGCTTACAATTTTGAGAACAAACCGTGAGAATTTGTTATAAAACAATTTAAAAACATTTTTATCGTACATTGTTAACTTCCTCCAGGTCAATCATTAATATTTTAATAACCAATTGAATATTTTGAGCTACCTAAATATTTTGATTGAAATTGATATTCACTCCCCCTCCTCTTCCTTTATAGGAAATTCAAGTAAAGATAGTAGGTAATACACGATTGAATAAGTGTATTTTACACAATAGCATGTTCTTTGTGATTATTTTGTTGAAATCTGATTGAAACCAGGTACGTGATTATGATAACATTAAAATTAATTTTATAAATTGAAAAAATGCTGACATACACATATATTTTTGTATTGTGTTAAACGTATACATATGTAAGTATCTACAATACTGTGTAAGTATTGAGAACATGCATTAATATTGTAAGAGCTGAATAAATATTTTTGTAATAAAATTGTCATGTTACTAATACGATTTTATTATAAAAATAAAATGCGAGCACTTGACAAAAATAAATTTGTATGTACCATGTACATAGGTACATACATATGTAAATGAAAATAAATAGCTATTTTGTAACAAATTTCAAATATTTTAAATTCTGAACTATTTTTCATCAATTTCAATAATTTCCTCCCCTTTAATATAATATTTCCTATTCCCATCGTTCCTCTTTCCCCGCCGTCCTACATGTACTAAATATATCAAATTTCTTTTTGATTAAGTATTCTAATTTAAATATTTTATTATGTCTAGTAGCGATATCGTCGGATTGTTGTTGTAGGGTTTCATTACTTTTTCTATTTCTTTTATTTTTTGTTCTTTAAAATTTTATGTTTTGTCTTCATTCATTCAAATAATATTTTTTTAAGATTTTGCAATTTTATAAATAGAACATTTATAAACAAAAAGAATATAATATAATTTTTTTTTCTGAAAAAAATTCGGGGTCATAAAACTCAACAGGGTGAAAATTTCAAATCAAAACAATAAAAAAAAAAGCTTTTATTTTATTAAAAATAAACGACGTAACGAGCGTATAAGAAAACCCAATTCTCATTTTACGCTTTTCTTTCTTCTTTTAAATTAACATTTTATTGTCAAAATTTTTTTACATCTTTAATATCATGTTTATGTACTCACATAAAATATAGTATGTACTGTATATGTATGTAAGTATAAGTGAACATCTGTAACCAAGTATAAAAAGTTTAATCAATATTATTAAAGTATTTATGGGGTCAGTGGACATCCAGACAAAATTATCATAAAAGTTTTTTATATAAAATGAAAAAAGTAATGTATGTATTTACTTATGTAAAAATGTAGATGATTTTGATTTAAAGAATATAAAGATGTCGTAACCTTTCCAAAAACAATTAATTGCATATCAATGTTTAATTAAACTTTACAGGGGACTTGAATTTTCTTTTTCTATGTATTTTTAATATCTGCAAATTATTATTGAATTATTCATGGGGTGTAATTAGATTATATATTTGGGTAACAAAAGAATTAAAAATTAACCCTCCAATTCCCGCTATGGGTAAAATTAATTCAGTAATTTTAAGTATAGAAATAAAAATGAAGTAAGTACTTTATTGTTTAGAATTGTTATATAAGGGTTAAAATTTTTTCGTGTATTAGGGTTTAGAGATAACTAAAAACTATTCAGGTTTTATAAATATTATTTTTGAGAGACATGGTCAATAACCGGTAAAAGTTCATTAAATTTTATAAATTTTTATGTAAACGTGGTAAAAATGAATATTTTTTTTTTGCGCTGAAGGGTTTATTAATGTTCGTGCTACTAAATAAGTATTGACTATTAATAATTAATGAATTTCATATTCTATTTCGAATTTAAGGTTTTCAATTTAGATTTATTCTAAGTTTTTCATGTTTTTTCTGAATGTACAGTGTTTGCACACAAGACCTAATAAATAATTTTTACAAGGACACTGATAGACACAATAATTTTGAACATTAAAATCTTCATTTTAAATCTGAATTTTAATTAAATTACTGGAGATGTGCTAATAAATTTAATTTTTTCTTTTAATTGCATTTAATTTTGTTATTTATGCTAAGTACTTATTTTTATTACAATTTCAATTCGTTTATTTATTAAATTTAAGAGTAAATAAAAAAAAAAACTGCAATTAAATTTAATTATATTTTTTTTTTTTGTTTTTTGCTTATTCAATAAAATTTCATTTAAATATTTTATTTAAAAGTTTATATTTAATTTATTTTATTATTTATGAATTCTATAAATGTACATAAAATATTTAAATGTGAAATCGCGTGATTTTATATGGTCAGAAAACGTGTTTTCACAATAGTTAGAAAAACTGAATAACGTGAAAGCATAATGAAAATTTGATTAATAAGTAAGTGTAATTATTATATTTCAATTAATTTAAAGAAGAAGACGAATAGTAGTACACTTATAATTGAAAAAAATATTGCAATTCGGCGATAACTATGTTGGTTTTACTTATGTGGTTTTAAAATTAAGTAAGTAGATATATGTACCTACCTATTGGCTGGAAATAATTTTATATTTTAGTTAATTATTATTAAGAAGATATTCTAAATTCATAATAATTAAAATGCATAGCGAATAATATCGTATGATTTTACAAATAGCTATAACCAGTAAGTAAGTAATTTTTATTTGAAGGTGTTTTGGTGATAACACGTAAATAAATTTAAATTTTAACTATATTAGTAAACTACAGCAATAAAATTTTGCAATAATTTATTTTAATTTTTTTTTTGCACGCTAAGAATTTTAAATAAGCGAAACAAATTAAGTAAATACTGACTTAGTAGGTACATATTTAAAATTCTACAAAAAACAATGAATATTTGAATAAATTAAAATTATTATTTTAAACTTTGTAAAATATTAATACAAAAAATTTCATAATATATTTGCATAAATTGCATTATTATTTAATAGGTATTGAATATTTAAGTGAATTTCGTTTTGTTTAATACAATGCAAGTTTGAAATTGAAAATATTTCACGTTAGAGATTAAAAAATTATCAAACCTATGATTTCTTGCGTATTTTTAATGTAAAACTTTTAAAAAAAGAAGTATGTACATATTAAATACTAGAATATTCAATCAGCTTAAATTAAAATTAATTTTAAATACAAAAATATTTAATGTATAAGCATGCCTTTACTAAAATCTTGTCCAATAAAATAGGTGCGTAGGAATTTTTATTTTAATATTCTACTTCTACATTCAAATCAGTTTGTATATACAATCAGATTTTAATTATAAATTTACCATTAAAAATTACTTAGTTTGTTTAACAACATTAAAAAGAAAAAAATATTAAGAACAGGTGATGTGACATTGACTTCTACTTTTTATTTCACGGAATATAATTTTTATTTACCAATCTTGTTTTTTATTTATTGCAAAATTGTTATTATTAAATGAGTAAGTAGATATAAGTATTGGTTTTTTTACTCATTTGAAAAAAAAAAATATTTAACAAAAACAAATATAACTATTATTATTATGGTATACCATAAGATTATATATACCAATCTTATATAATATACTTATTTAAATATACCTAGTCAATATTATAAAAAATAATAAATGAGTAAAAAGAAATTCAGAAAACAAAATCTGAAATGAATCATTTTTTTTTTATTTTATTTACACTTATTTCTGATTCTTTTTCTCTATCTTTTCTTTCTCCTCCATCTACAGTACGTTATTTTAACATTAAGTTTAAAAGTGATTGCTAACAATACTTAATTCTTTGTTCCAAAGTCATCGCAATATAAGAGATCATTGTCATTGCCAGATATTTTATTTGATTTTTAATTTATAAGTACAAAAGCATTCATAATATTTGTACCAAATTGTTTTTTGTATACCTACATAAGTATATTCTTAAGTACATTAAGTGCCATTAAGTGCCCATGTACCCACCTTACTTTGTTATGAAAAGATTAATCTTAACACAAGAATAATGAAAACAAATTGTGATAAATTTTAGACAAGCCAAGTGATAAATTGTTTTAGAAATAAAAATTTACAATTAAGGTAGGTTTTTTTTTTTTGTTTATAACTTAAGAAGTTTTGTGTTATAGAAAGTATTCAAAAATAATGTTTTGTTTTGTAAAGAATTTTTTTTGAATAACTAAGATTACGTGCCTAAATTTATTCAATACAAAAATTTGTTACTTAATCTAAAAATATAAGCTTTTAATTAACATTCTGTATGACAAAAGTCCGGACATAACTGCTAGTCATTTATATATATATATTTGTACATACAAAGCATCCATTGTCTTTGTAATAATTTGTTTAAAATTTCTCGACAAAAAGTCAAAAATCAATTGAGATCGGGCAAAATGTATATTCCAAAAAGATTTGGAATTGTTAGAAATGAAATATTTATTTCTAAACAACTTTAAATCTTAGAAATGAAATATTTATTTATTACATATTGTATTAAATAACTATTAAACGCGTCTTGCAATGCTTGTAGTAGATATTGTTCACAAGCTAAATATAAATTTTATGATATTCATCTATATTTCCTGAGATTCCCTGAGAAATTTTAATTTAAAATCATCAACACACTTGGCAATTTCAAATGATGCATTCTTAGAATGATGTGAGTGGATTTTTGGGTTGGGATTAACTAGGTTTTGATGGGAATTTAAGTGTAACAACAGTTTTGTAAAGGTTATTAGGAAATTATTCAATTTTCCTCTTAGTCTTAATTGTTTTCATTTAATATAAAATTTTTTTGTAATTTTTTTTATGAAAATCTAGAATATAAATTAATTTCAATTAAAATAACTGAATATGTATGTACTTATGTAATTCTATATATAATCAAACAATACTAACCTCCCATTAGATCCTCTTTTGGTGGTGTGCTTGTCATATTTGCTTATTTTTCTTAGTTTCCTTTTTAAATTTTTTTTTTTACTGTGAGAATTTGTTTTTAATAATTTTGCGGTCAGCCACACAATAAGTGAATATCTAATAAAATAAATTATTATTTATATTTTCGTATTCTTATTCGTGTAATCTTTTATCTTCCTTTTAAGAATGTGTGATGTTTATTTTATTTATTTATAAAAATTACGTTTTTTTGGCCTTGTTATTTTTTTGAATAATAAAAATAAAAAGTGCAAGCGACAAAAAATTTACGCGCTTTTATTTTTATAAATAAAATATTTTTGTTTTTTATTTTTTTTTTTTGCGTTCTTTTCAAAATTTAAATGGAAAATGTTTGTTATTTGTTTGCTTTGCTTTGTTTTTTTCAGTATTTCCTCCTTCTCTAGCGTTCTTCTTTTTTAATTTTAAAAATTTTTTACGTATCAAAAATCAAATGGTTCTCTTGGATTTTTATTCAAATTCTAAAAACAAAACAAAATATAAGTTGGTTATGATTTTAATTTTTGCGGAAATTATATTTTGATAACCGTGTACGTATTTGTGTACTTATGTATGTATATAGTAGATAAAACAGGTTTTTTTTTTTTAAAAAAAATCTTTTTTCGCTCCAAAATTAATTTTTTTTCTTGAAAATTTTTTAAATTTTTTGACGTTATTTTCAAATGAAATATGCCAGTTTGTTGTTCTTAAGAGTAATAATTGAAAATTCTGTACCGCAAATCTTAGCACTTTTAAAATATTCAATTGTGATTTTCCGTGTGTTAAAGAAACAAACAATTCAACAACAAGAACAAGATTTTCAGTCGCAATTTTTCAAAACAAAAACAAAAATTGAATATTTTTTTTTTTATTTTTGTGTCACGTATGCACGTTTTTTTTTCCACTTTACTTTTTGTAAAAACACCACATATACAATAATATGAGCTTCGCTTCAAAAGGTATACTTATGTATGTATATATGTAAGTATATATAAGTACGTGGTTTTCGATGTAATAAAATACTCAAAGGTGTATGTAGTAGCTTTGTATAGTATATAAAAATTAACTATCTATATGTAAAGTGTAAATAAAAAAAAATAAACTGCTTCAACGTCACTAGACTTTTAATTGCAATTAAATGCAACCTTTACAGAAAAAAAAAGTTATGAAAACTTCAAAATTGATTTTTTTTGGTTTTAATCACTTCTAATTTTTTGTTTTTCTTAAAATTCTCACTTTAATAATTTTTTTATATTGTTGAGTAATAAATTGTTTCGTTTTTTAAAAAAAAAATTCTTAAATCGATGTTTTATGACTTTAGAATATGCGTTTTTATTTTTACGTTCTTTCTTAAATGTTTTTGTACAATTGATTGAGTTGAGAGACAAAATCACCAAACTAAACGCTAATTCAGAAATTCTGTATATTTAAATGCAATAAATTGGGAAAAATTTTGTTTTTTTTTTTTAATAAAACATTTCTGAATTTAATTGATTCTATTTTTAGTGATTTTGTAAAATTCACTTAAAAAAATTTTTCAATTTACTTTTATTTTTTTTTTTCAAAAAAACTTTTAAACAATGCGATTTGCGAAGTGCGAATAACAAATAAATTTTATTTTTACAACCGTAATAGAATAACGCTAGACGTCAATTAAACGTAGTTTATTTTTTTTGTATAGCATTTCCATCTGGTGAATGCTTATAGAATTTAAAATTTTATATAAAAATGAGGAAAATTGTGAATGTGTATGTTTTATATATAAGTATATAATATATATACAATTTTATTTTGTTTTGTTATTATTCTTTCAAGTTTTTCAAGCTTCAGCTAAGATTTTTTTGAGAAAGAAAATATTTAAAATATATATAAATATATTGTTCATATTTATGAGTAAATGGATGTGTATGTATATATATATATAATATAATATATAAAATATTACATGCAAGATTTCGAATAAATTGCGTATTTTCCTTTGTTCTCTATGTGAATTCAAGTCAACTGTTTGTTTGTGTAATATCAAATATGTATAAACAATTGTGAATATTTTATTCTTTTGTAAAGTATATACATTATTATTGTATCAAGTAAAACAAAGTATGAGAGAGATAGAATTAAAAACAAAGAAATGAAAGAAAGAAATATATGATGACAATAAACAAACACATACAAAAATTTATTTTGTAAACAAATTCACACATATAAAGTTGAAAGAATAATTAGTGATGCCGTTGTTCTATTTATTAACAAGGTTGTGAAGTGTTGGTAAAAAAATATTGTTCACAAATTGGGAAAGAATTGCTTTTATAATGGAAAATTGTAAATAAGTATTTTGTTTTATTTGTTGTTTTTTTTTGTGTTATTTATAAATTATTTGTGATAATAATTATAAATGTAAAAATATTTTATTATTTTTTCTTTTTATTTGTTATTACTTAAATGTTTTAAAATTATTCATAAGTATTGATTATTTAAAGGAAAGAATAAAATAAGATGAGAACTTTTAAGCGAAATTATTTTATTTGTATTTATTATCAGAAGTTTTTGTTCCTTACCGTATTTGAACATTGTATCTTATCTGCCAACTAAAAAGTTATTTTCTGGACTTTATTTAAGTTTTTGTAAAAGCCGATATAAAACACTGTTCAAACTTCGGTTTTTGATTCAGGACAATTTTTTCAGGACATAAAAAAATTGGATTTGAAAGTTGGGATAAAAACTTATTAAAATATTAAATAATGCTTCAACAAGTTATTTAAATAATAGATAAATAAAGTATGAATCCCGAAATAATTTTAGTTTTGTCAAGAATATTTACATTACACATTCATTTACAAATTTGATATTTCAATGTATTTTTTGCTAGAATGTATTTTATTAATTTTCTCAACTCTTCAAAGTAAAATGGTAGCTGTCATTTTGTATCAGATCTGCAATATATATTACTGACAAATTGTTTATTGGTATACGAAGGCAACAAGTAAATGTAAACATTTCGGCAATTTATTGTGAATAAATTTTATTGAAAATTTTTCTTTAAATCATTGTGAATTTACAATATATAAAAATGGTATAATATAGAAAGCTTTCAAAATGTAGAAGCTTTTTTATAATTTTTGAAAATAACGTGTTTTTACATGAATAATATTTGAATATGACAAATAATTTCCGTTAATAATATTTACAAATAACGGATAACTTCTGACGGGTAATGTACAAAATAATATTAAAATATTTATTTCGTTCAAATGGGAATGTTCACAAAAATATATTTTTTATAAAACACAAACAAAGATGGTACATATACTAAGACATGACGTATAAAAATACAAATTTTTGCTGTAAAACATTTACACGTTGGCATTTCTTCCCCAACATATGTACATACTTCTTGTTTATAAATTTATTTTGGTTATTTTCTCTTCTGTTCTTTTAAGTTTGTAGGTAACAATGTCTTAACAGTGTTTAAAGTGAAGAAGTGTTCGGATATTTTAAAATTAAATTCGAATTTTATACTTAAGCTCTTATTAACCTTTTATATTGCGATAGAGGAGCAATAAAGAGTGCAGCATTAATAGAGTTTTACTTTGTAGAACAGAAAAGAGAAAATTTTTTAAAAATAATTTTTAAAATTTCATAATTTTATTTGATTGTCTGTGCAGTCGACTACAGTGGAGTGATACTAGCTCAATATGCTTAAACTTCATATATAATGATAATATTTACTCATATAATTGCTTTGCAAACGGGGCATGATAAAAAAAACTGTAGTGTGTAGTATGTATACTGTAAGGAATTTTACACAGGGTGCTTTATGAATTATTTTTAATATTCCTGCAAACGAAACTAAAATAAACCAGTTTTTTCTGCTGATTTATACATAAGATTTTTATTTATATATTTAATAATATAAAATATACTTTTATTGTTTCTATATTATATACATATATGTAAATACATAATTATTTATTTTTATAAATTATTAAATAAGAATGTTATATAAGATTTTTGACTTTTTCATTATTTTTTTTTTTTGTTAAATTTTACCGTGGATTTATGTTAATGTTTTTTTTTTTTTAATATGTTTTATATAATACATTTGATCTTTTTTTAATTTTTTGTTCTTTTCTTACAATATTTATATATATATTTACGATTATAACAATTATTTATGAATTTGATAAAACATTTAATTTAATTTTTGTATTTTTTTTTTAACAGTTAATATTTATTGAATTTTATTTTGAAAATATAATTTTAATAAAATAAAAGTTTTTGTGTTGTTACGCGTTCTTTATATAATTTTTTGTTTGTTTTATTAACAGTAATAGTACAGTAATAGTACAATAATAGTATAGCAGTTATATTAAATATATAACAATTAAAGAGACATTGAAAAATTAATTTAAAACACTTGTTTTTAGTTTTTATATATTTTTTTTTTTGTATAATTATTATCTATTTTTTAAATTTTATTTCTAAAATCAATGAATTATTTATTATACTTAAATTTATAAAGATATTGAATTTAATTTATAATTAAAACATAGAAATATGAACGAATTTAATTTTCTTCATTTAATATACATATATATATACATATATATTTTTGCTTAATTAATATTATTTTTTTCTCTCTTTCATTTAATAATTTAAATTTGAAAATTGTAAATTTTAATAATTATATTATTAATAAATTTTAATTATTAATTACTTAAATTTTGTATAATAGATATATATATATATATGAATTATTATACATGTATTTTGAATATATTTTATTTGTTATATAAAGTTTAGAAAATGTAAATTCCTATTTTTTTATGATTTCATTATTATAAATACAATATATAATTATATTTATTTTGCAATTTATATATTTTTATATAATTAGCTTGATTTTTTTTCTCTTTTAATTTAAAGTTAACTTTAACTCTTTAATATTTTTAATATTTTACAATACTTCATAATTTACTTGTCACATATATACATTAAGTTTTAATACTAATTATTTAAATACAAAATAATTTTAAATAAATACTAATAATTTTGAAAAAAAAAAAACAAAAATAAAATAAAAAATCTCAAATTGTTTTTTATATTTTAAAAATATTTTAAGTTTTAATTCTAATAATCATTGAGTTTTTTTATATACTGCACTGGGGGTTATAATTTTACAGTACAACGAAATATAATGAAATAATTAAGTGTAGTAGTAGGAGAATGTTGAAAATAATTGAATTATGAAATTCTTTTGACAGATCACAGTACTGTTGATTATTTGTTACAGTATTTTTTTGTCACGGAATTGCTATTATCAAATTTTTTTAGAAATTGCCCTTAATTTTCTCTTATTTGCTTTAACTCAAACACATATAGAGAAAAATATTTTAAAATAAAATTTAATTTACTTTTATTCTAGTTTTCTTTATGAGATTTAAACCTTTTTTTTTACAATTAGAAGAAAATGTTGAAGATTGTGAACAATTTTTTAATTCACAATTTAATTTTTTAATTAAAGAAAAAGATAATAATTTAGAACAAAAATTTGAAAAATTATTGTATATAGATGTGATAAAATTTTGAAATAAAATTTTATTATACTATATATGCATATATATACATATATATATATATATATACCATATATATACCATATATATATCATATATACCATATATATATCATATATACCATATATATATATATCATATATATATATATATATATATATATATATATATATATGATATATATACCATATATATACCATATATATATCATATATACCATATATATATCATAAATACCATATATATATATCATATATATATATATATATATATGATATACAATATATGGTATATATGATTATATATGATATATATATGGTATATATGGTATATATATACCATATATATCATATATACCATATATATATCATAAATACCATATATATATCATATATATATATATATATATATATGATATATATATGGTATATATGATTATATATGATATATATATGGTATATATATATAGTATATATATATGTTATATATGATATATATGTGATATATATATGGTATATATGATATATATATGGTATATATATGGTATATATATATCATATACATATATATATATATATATATATATATATATATTTATATATATATATATATATATATATATATGATTTCAATTATAACATAATAAATATTTTGTATAACAGTTTTATTTATATATATTTTAATCTTATTAATTCTAATAACATTTAATCATACAATTGACAAAAATAATTAATTTTAAATATTTTAAATTTTCAGTATTTTTTCTTTTTAATATAATTTTATATTTATTGTTTTACTATTTAATTTTTATTTTATATACAATAAACAAAGAAAAGTAATACTTATACACAGATGATAATAGAGATAGGAAGTAGTAAAAGTGAAATGTATAACAGTTATTTTTGCTCTATTTTCTCTTAAAAATAATTTTATAGTTGAAGTTGTTTAACTTTTATACTTTAAGAAGAAATTGTTTTTTTTTTTATTGTGATTATTTTATTTTTGTTTTGTTTTATATTTATTATGACATTACAACGCAATTATAATTATGTTTGAATAGTAAAATTACTGTATAGAAATAGTAATGCCGTGGATAATAATTAATCGATAAATTATGTAATGTATTTTAAATTTTTTGAATTAAATTTATACAATTGAATCTGGTAAAGAGAAATATTAAGGAAACGAAAATTTTTTGTTTTTGCTTGTATAATAAAATTTTCCTTAATAAAATTAAAGTCAGTGTTTAAATATATTCGGCTTCTTTAATATTATTTTTTGTTTTTTGCACCACAATAAACTCATCCAAACATTCATGAACACTCATAGGAATTGTACATAAAATAATTATAAATATTTTCTATTAGAAAAAGGCAATTTTATTTAAAGAATAAAATTATTTCGAAACTGGTAATACGTTGTAAAAATGCTCAAATTTTACTTGTAAGGGGGCTATGAGAAAAAAAATTTCATTAAACAAAATATCATTCTCTTATCCAGGTTCAACTGTTATACATACAAAGATGTATTTTTTGTTTAGATCTGATATAATAGTATTAGATATAGTATTTATATAGTTTTTTCTTTTTGTATAATGATAAATAGAATTTTATTTAATATAATTAAATAATTAAATTTTCTTATTTTTTAAAATTCTTTGGTATTTTATGTTTCATTTTCTTAAAGCTATTAATGTTGTTCATTTTTTTTTTTAAATTTATTATATGTATTACAGTTATCTCATAAATTTTATTTATATTATATATAAGTTTTTAATTTTAATTATAAGTATATAAGAGTATATATATATATGTGAATGTTATTTAATTTTGATTTGAATGCTTTATTCTGAAGAGAACAATAAATTGGCAAATAAATATTTTATATTTAAAGAGAAAATATCAAATATTTTTAATCGAAAAATTGTTTTTAGTTTTTTTTGTTTTCTATATTATATTTTATTATACATATGTATGTGTTATTGTATAGTATACATAAATTATATTTGAACAAGAATTAAATTATATAATTTTTTATAGTTCAAGAATAAAAAAATTTTTTTGTTTTATAATTAAATGTATACAAAAATAATTTAAAAAATTAATTATTTTAATAATCTTAAATGTTATACATTGATAGTGTAAAAAGAATGATTTTCTTTATTAATAAATATTAAATTTGATATGATTTTTTTTTTGTTTTTATTTTTGATATAATAATTATAAATTTTTTCAAATATTACATAATATTTAAACAAAAATTCACAATTACAATATTATTTCGAATAATTTTTTTTTAATATTGTATAAGGAAAAAAATCAGAACATAAGCTCTTATACAATTAAGTGTTATAATACATATATGCATTTATGTGTGTTAATAAATGAATTATTTATGAAAATTATTTCCGACTAGCATCGGAAAAATACGCAAAAATAATTTTCATTTATTTTAATTAATTTCCTGTTAAAAGTATTAATGATTTATACAAGGTGATATGAAATTATCAAACAATTTATTTCAATATATTTTTTTAATATATATTCGATGAAATTGAATAAATTTCGGATTATTAATTGTTCCTTCTGGTAAATATTCAATCTTGTTCAGACAAAGTGGATGATAAAATGGAACAGCTTTTTTTGAATAATTGAAGAATGTTCTTTAAATTATTGACACAATTTACGAAAAGTTTGTGTTTCGACAGATTTCTTTGAAAATATTAAAATTCTATGTCGAATTTTAATGCCAGTCAAATAATTAAATGACGTATAAATCTTTTGATTTGACTATTAACCTAGCAAATTGTAAGTCGGGAACTTAATAGCTAACAAATAGAGTTCGTCAGTAGATTGTGCTACTTGGGTAGAATCATAACACCTGATGACGGGTCCCAGATAGATGTAGATAACAGTCGAAGGCAGGACGGCAGACTACAACCGTAAAAGCAGCCACATATCAAGAGCGACTAACCTAAGAATATTCGGGTGCTGTGTAAAATTGATTCTTTTATACGGTAGAGAAATTTGGCTAACATCAAAATCCGTTAGCCAGAAATTGTAAATATTCATCAATAGATGCCGCAGAATAATATGCCGAATATTCTGACCAACATAAATTAACAACAAGGTAAAAAATAGAAAGTTTACAAATTATTTTTATTTCATATCACCTTGTGTCTCGTGTTGATTGCGAATTATTGTGATTTGTAATACTATTATTAATTTATTTCTATATATATATGTATATAATTTTTATTAATTTATAATGTATGTATGTATACTTTCTGTAATTAATAATTTTACACTTTATAATTTTAATTTTTTTTTTACAAATATGTAGCAAAAATTTCAAAAGCTTTTTTTCCTTTGTTTCTCAATGTTTTATTATTATTAATATTACAATAATTTTTTAATATGTAAATAAAATTTACACTTAAACATAATCACTTATATATAAATAAAATATCCTTAAAATATATAAAAAAATTTAAATTACACTTAATAATTTTTATTTAAATATTAAAAAAAACAAAAAAAAAAATTCAATTTAATTTATTGTTATACCGGCGTTTTGATATTTTAATAATTGATTTTATTTTTTCAATAATAATTATTGTATACATTATACACCAACGGTCCGATCTCTTATTAATTTATAATATTTGCATGTATATATATATTAAATTGATATATATATATATATATATATTTGTTTATATACATTTATAATGTCGAATCGAATATCGTTACAATTGAAAATTATTTTTTAAAAAATCACAATAAAATTTTCATAAATATTATTTTTAATAATAAAAATTTAATTGAATAAAAATATGATTATGCATCATACAGCTTCAGCTGCTTCATCCAATATCATTGAATGAATATCCATTGCTGAACGTGTTTTACGTGGTGGTTGTTTCGGTAATTGCATAATTTGTGATGAAACAAAAACTGAATTTTGACGTGGTCGAAAATATTGTGGTGATATTATGGCTATAAATTATATAATTTTCAGGAAGAAAAAAAAAAAGAAGAAAAATATTAAAATAGAGAGAAAAATTTAAGAATAATTGAGAAAATAAATAAAATTTTCACTTATAAGTTGATACGATATAACTGTAATATTATTTTGTTACTGTAATAACGAATTTACAAAATTTATTTATTTGGGTGTTTTTTTTAAACTCAATACAGAACTTGGAAATTATGAAAGATCAAATTTTAACCAAAATTTTTTTCGGAAATGAGCGGCAGTACATGACTTTAACATATTTGAAAACGAGTTCAATCAATGTTGTTATAAAAACTGTTACCAGTTGTTGGTTCACCAGTGCGAATCATTGATGTTAAGGAATCTGACAGGAAATTGCCCAATTGTTCTTTAATACCCACTACGTTAAAGAAAATTTGCATGTGCATTTCTTTGAAATCATTATATAGTTGTAATTATCATATGCCTCATAAGATAAATTGTGTTCAATCCCGATAAATGCTACACATACATTACCATCTAAAGCGTATACAACATTTATAACTCAATTTTCTCTGGGCCTCCTCGCCTTTTGAAATTGTACAATTTGGTTATTGACAAACTCATAATGGCAAAAATGTATTGTGAATTTTCCATAGTACACGGATCAAAAAATAGGCCCAGTGCAGTAGTTCGTAAGTTCTATTTAAGCAAAAAAAAAAAACACCCTTTATACTATATATAAATATATTACATATTACAAAAATATAATAATTATATATGTATGTAAAGAGCATATATACTTTACAATAAGAGGAATATAATGAATAAATTTCAATCGGAATTTCCTGACTATATCAGGCATGCACTAGATAATAATTACAAATTAACTATAATATTTTTTTTATTTTATTATAATGTAATAAAGCAGCTATTATATTAATTAACTCTGTAAGCTATTATAGGCTATATATGGCTATATATATATATATATATATATGAATAATATACATATATAGTTTATACTTGAAATTTTTAACTCTGAATATGTATCTAAAGCAAAATATTTTAACATATGTATATAAATGGATATATATGAATTTAGCAATATGAGAATTTTGGTCAATACCTACTTATGCTTTTTATATATATATATATATACAATTATTTCAAATTATCAAACTTACAGAACCTCCGTTCGCGTTATTAAAATCACTAAATTAACTTTTATTCCAATAATATGATTTTCGTCTTTGCTGAATTATTATTCGTGGATTATTTAAATAAATGAAGTTTTATAGATATTGTTATACAATAAATAAATTATTTTAATTTAATCCACATATTTATTAGAGTTTGTTTCAGATGATTGATCCATTTCAGATGCTTAATAATTGTATACGCCAAATAATTAAAATAATTGTTAGTATATTTGAAAAAAAAATGATAAAGGATCAAAATTGTAAGTCATATTTTGTCAAAATACTTGATAATTATGATTAATTAATGTTAATTACACTTTAATGAATCATTTTAAATGGTTTTCTCAAGTTTTTCAGGTATTGAAAAAAATTGCATATATTTAGGCGAGAAATTTCGTTTTGGTAGGATATTGGTCATTATTAAAACTCTCTTAAATGTGATTCACTTGAGATAATGGAATATTAATGAAAAAAAAAATTTAAAATTTTTAGAACAGATAGAATAATATCGTATAACCTCAAGTCTACCCGAATAAATAAGTGAAATATGAATTAAATATGAATTACAATGTCTAATATTAATTATCATCGTTGTTCTGCTTGTTCTTTTTGGAAAATTCCGCAATATCACATCGGACCTGACATTGAGAGAGTCTACATTTCGTAGTTTATATTTTGTTTGGTTATTGTAAAAGTATTTAGCAAGAGTTGCCTTTGTTGAGTCAAAAACGTTGTTAACCTGTCCTAACAATCTTTATGTGAACAATGTTTTTCGCAGTTTTATTTCGAACATGGTATGCAATTATGATATTGAGGTAGGTATACTCTATAATTTATAAATGTGTGTATAAAATTTTTAACCTTCACTTAATTTTTTAATAAAAAAGAAAAAAAATATTAATTTTAAATAAATCATTTGGGCTAATTAAAGATGATTTATTTAATGAAATTTGTGGAGGTGGAAATAATGTTAATAAAAAATTAAATATTCTCTATAATTGAAATTGACTATAAATTTTCCATTGCAAATTAAAATAATTTCGTAATTATTAAAATTATTATTTTAAATTTAATCGTTTATTATTGTTAAATTGTTTATTAAAAATGGCGAAAAATTAATCAGGGATTTTCATAAAATTAATGGATAAAAATATTACTTTTAAAAGATATTAACCGAGAATTTTTCGTTGTGTAATTAAATGTAGGGTAATATTTTGTGAAAATCACCAATGTTTTTTGTGATTAATTACTAGTGCTTTTTATAAAACAGGCGTAACACATTCTCATTTTAAGTTCATTGTAAAATCTGTTAAAAATTTTAAAGTTCATTAATTTATAAAATGAATTTCAGATTTTTTCAACGAACCGATTTCGGGGAATTTCGCAATTCAAACTAGTATTTTTTAAAACTAAAATATTTTGTGGTAAATATTTCATATACCGTAGTGATTCCGATCAATTCCACTTCTTCTTGAATATTTCTGGGTATGTGATTTATTTATATTTTTGATTTTCGTTTTAATATTCAAAACTAAACCTTAGATATTTTGTTTAAACCTTAGATATTTATTCTCTAAGACATCAAAAATTATAGTTTCGAGGAATACGTGTTCTTTATAATAAAACCTAGTAGTTATAATATAAAACATCAGTAGCTGTCAAAAATTTTAATTCAAAATGATTTTTTTAATTTAATATTTTCAAATGCAATTATATTTTGTTAATTAGTGTAAAAATGCAAGTCCATTTTGTGAAATTTATGCCTATCTGCTATAATCTAAATAACACTATTATGATGACATCTATATTACGATATTCAGTATTTATAATGACATTGACATCTTCTAGTTCACATTATGTAGAATAACAATTTATTTTTCTCTTTTTGGTTTTGTTCTCCCCTTATTTTGTTTCAAATAATAATAATAATAAAGTGCTTCGATTATTTTCTATATCAAAAAATAAATCTAATTGTGGTTTAAAAAAAACCATAAAAGTATTTGTTCTATATTGTTGTTGTCTTTCCAAAATTGATTTTTATGGAATTGTTTTAGAATTTAGATTGTATAAAATATTGTGGTGTGCATAATGTGTCATTTATAATGAAAACATTTTTTAGAAGTCATTATACTTTTGAAAAATAATAATATGGTGGTTTATCTTTGACCTCGAGATTCGAAAACAAAAACAACTATGTGTTATAGATTTTTATGAAATATTATGAAGCGAATAAAATATAAAAGTTTTTTTTACAACATTTTGTATTTTTAATTATTATTTGATAATAAAAGGATTTTTTTTTTTATTTTTAGGTTATTGAAGTTTGGGAATTTCGGGCTTAATAAATCATTAATGTTATTCTAGTACAAATTATGTCATATACAATTTAATACAAATTTATTGAACGTCATTGTCTCACAACACAAATATGTGGAGAATTTAATGCGTGTTGTGTCATGTTATACGATAAAAATTTAAAGTAAATTGGTAATGAAAGAATCATAATTTTAATTGAGATTATGTACAACAATTTTGGAGGAAAATTAAAATTCCGATTTTTGCTTTTAAAATATTTGTCTTTAGATCGTCAAATTTATCAAATTAATTGATCGAAAATCATAATCGAATTTGTAAAAAATTCGCTTAAAATATTCACAATTTTTTTTAAATCTTTCTAATCGAAATTGGCGTATAATTTTTTTAATTTAATTTAAAAACTTTTTAAGCACAAAAATTTTAAATTTGCGTATTTTATGAATGTTTATAGATACTAAACTATTTCTTGTCATATTATTCGAAATCCAGCAATAGCAACATCTAGTTTAAATCTAGTAATTGGAAAACTCAATTAAAAATTTAATTTTAAATTTTATTTAACCACAAACTTTAACTTTAATGTATAGAACACTTTTAAATGATACTGAAATACGTATACTTTACTTAGTTCTTCGAAAAAGTTTTTTAATTCTCATAAGTGAACATTGTGTGGAGGATTCCAATAAAAAAGGTAAAAAATAAATTAAGTGATTTGGAGAATCAATTTTCATTAGAAATATTACCTTTTTTCGCAAACACAGTGAAATACTAGTTAAATCAAAATTTTGTAATCTACGTTTACTGTTTGCAACGAAAAACTCATGTCAGTCACAGTAACCACCAGGAATTGTAAATCAAAAACGTATTGATTTTCCAGGGAATTTTCAAAAACTGAAAATTTGAGTTTATACAGAAGTTACACTGGGTGAGTTCTAAACAATGGGTGAATATTCAATAGTTTAGATAGTTGCTACATATAGAATTACAAGCGGAGGTGCATGAAATTGAGCTGTGTCTGGTATATATTGTTCAAAACATCTACAGGAGCTAGAATGGCATACAGGCGATTGTATTGACTTCTCTAGCCAATAGGATGGATTTCAAGTTAGTTTGTAAACAGCTAGTAATTCTGTACCAGCTGGAAATTTCAAAAAGAGTTATGCTTATTTGGATTCCAAGGCACATTGCGAAACGACACCGTGAAGGTCATATGTAGAAGAGCCTGGATTCATCTTCAAAACGAGACTGGTGCAAAAAAGTAGTAGTAGGAATCTAATGAAAACTGTTTATATAAAGCAAGGTGCAAACAGGCCTTTCCTTTTTCTCTTATACTAAAAACAAACTCTTTTTCAGATTCAAAGTTTTTATGTTTATATTTTAGATAAAAAGTTGATTCACTCGATAACAGACTTCCTGATGGTCTAGTAAATAGCTATCTCCGTGCTATAGCAATATTGCGGACAACGTTATGTAGGCTTTGCGGTTCGAAGTGCACACATTTGGCACATTGACAATAAATAAATTATATTCTTTAGAGACGATTCTCTAGAATTTTTTCTATTTTATGTTCAACTCATTCTGTAGTATCTCCAGTTTCCTTACGAAAAAATACGAATAGTATAGATTTGTAGAGCTTGGACCTCTATGGGCAGATAGTTATAATATGTTAGACTGGCCTCGGTAATATAGATATATTTAGGTATCATCCTTTAAAAAATAACCTACAATTTATTATTTATTCTAAATAACATTTTTGTAGTGAAATCAGACGTCTTATCTGTGGTGTTCCACTTCCTTTCACAAAATTGAATTTTAATAAATGACAAAAGTCTAAACTTGAATGTTCTTTTAAACTCCGTCCTTTATAAAATTTGCGATGCAAATGTGTTCTAAATGATAATGGACAATTCTGAGAATAAAATAAATAGTATTTCTATTTCTAAAAGTACTAAAATTCTAAATATTACTAATTTCCGACTAATTGATTTTAGTTATCACATTAAAATCTTGCCGGTTAATCTAATTTTGTGTAATTATAAATTTATTATACTAATGAAAGTAAATTTTTTCTTATGTTCGGTTCAATCCTAATAATCAGCTAATCTATACAACTACACACAAACACACTATGTAGATAAACAAAGAAAATTTATCTGTAACCAAGAAGAAAAAATTCAATAATCTAGAAGAATCTTTTAATTTCAATTATCGCATAAAAAATTTGTAAAATAAATAATTTAAAAGAATTTTAAGTGTGTAAAAATGAAATTTTCCTTAATAGTTTTACAAAAAAAAACTTTTAATCTAATAAAATAAGAGACTCATTATCCTTGTTTTTCAATTTCAATTGAATTGTCGAACACTTTTTCTGATACCCAACAAGATTTTGTATTCCAATTATACACAATAACAATAACAATGTAATTTTCATATTACGTGCTTAGAAAATTCAATAGAGTTTTTCTATATTAAAAATTTTTTCTTCTAAAATTTTAAGCATTTCTGTTTTTAAATTCAAAAAATTTTTATCAATTTCGAACCATTAACGTTTCATATAAGGAGTGAACATAGATTATCTTATGCTATTTAAATAAAAACTCTTTTCATTGTGGAAACAAAAAAAGATAATGTAGAATGATGATCTATATAGTATAAGAGAAACAAAAAAGGAAAAAATAGGAAAACATCCCGAGATAGAATGTGTGATAAAGATTTCTCCCAATGGAAAATTCAAATCATGACAAGCGATTATTTTTATAAAATGTAAAAAAAGTTAAAAATTTTAAGAATAGAAGAGATATAGGATGTTGCATAATATAAAAAAAATTTTAATGAATTAAAAAATTAAAAGGAAGAATAAAAATAGGAGAAAATTAAGAGAGAGTTTTGCTTTGGCAATCATGCCATTCAAAAGCTTGAGAAATTTTAAATTAAATATTGTTTATTGTGGCTCAAAGCTGCAAGAGCTTTAACTACGTATAATAGTATCTCCTAATTAAATAACTTTAGCGTGTGTGACATCAGTTTGATTTCAAAGAGAAACCAATTTTATGGTTCTAAATTAAAATTGCCTAAGCCCAGTTTCATCGGTTACTCTTATTTTTATTTCAGAATTTCATTTCCAATAGCTTAATATTTATAATATTGGAAAAGAATGGCACATATATTTTTAACCAAAATCATCCTGTACCGTAACGAAATTTTAAAACAAAGAATATTTTACAATGTATACATGAAATACTCTCTTCGAATACAAAAGAAAAGTGGGTAGAATTCCTCTATTTCCCATAATATTCTAATAAGGATTTAAGCACAAAAAGTTTACGAAAAAAAATAATTAAAATCTCATTTTAACTTTAATGGACGACCTATGTATTTGAGAAAAAAATTGAGAAATTTCAATTATTTCTTAATTAAAGTGTCATTAAAATTTTGACACATTCTATTAATATTTTTGTCTAAATCCTTAAGACATAATCATTTCTTCAAGACACGTATACACTTACAATAATATTATATTATAAAATATTGACATCTTAAATTTAATATTAGTTTGTATGTGTATACTTACATTCGCGTCTATAAGTTGTGAATGAACATGATGGCATATTAATTGGTACAGCTAAACCCATTGACATTCTTGATATTGAAGATCTCTGAAATTGGTAATTTTAAAATTTTAATTTAAAAATATTTGTTAGCTTGCCTTTTTTAGATTTTTATAGTAGTTGATTAAGAAAATTATTGTAATTTTTAACTTACAGGATGTTCCATTGTTTCCATATCGACCAATTGACATGAAGTTCTATGTTTTTGTTCGAATTTTGGTTGATATGGTTCTAACATACGAATTTTACCCCAACGATTAAAGAATAACATTATAGCTCCCATCCACATTAATAAAACGAATGAAACTATTAAAACTTCTTCGGTCCTTACTATTAACTTTGGTCCTATAAAGATTTAAAAAAAAATAATTAACATTAGAATATTAATTAATTTATTAATTTTTTATTTGAATATGAGGTATAGGGTTTAAATAGGTAAAGGTTTGATTAGAATTGAGTGTTTTCTATTTTCTCTATCACACATATTTCTCTTATCAAACTTTAATCAAACATTAATCAATTCGAACAAATTGTGTGAACAACCTTGCCTGATGTGTGAGGACATTTTTTATTTGATTATCATTTTAATATTTTTAAATTTTTGAGAACTTTGAAAGGTTTTGATTAAAAAATTAGAACTGAACAATTTTTTGTGTTTGAAAGGAAAAAGGCTGCAATTAAAATTTTAAACATACGTTAGAACGAAGTTATTTAACAAATACTTAAAATCAATAATTTTGTTATGAATTGGTTCCTAGAAATGCTTCCCTTCGCCAACAAGACTTCGTTCTTATCTATGATGTTAATTAATTCTTTCAGCGGCAGACGGGTCCCCGCGGGCGAACAGTCCGCCATCTGTATAATAACTTAAATATTATAAATTGTTTTCTCTAGATATTATGATTCGTTTGTCTAGTTTAAATTTACAGCAAAATTTTCATTTTAATTTTATTCCTCGGGTATTTTGTATCATTTTCTAAATTCTTCAATATAGAAAATCAATAGATCTAAAAATAACTGTAATATGGGTCGTAATTCGATTGTCTTTATACATTCTTAAATAAAAATTTAAAAATTAATAATAAAGTAATAAAGAGAAAGGGAGAATTTTATTGTATATAACAATAATATTATTTTGTGTAAAATGATATTTGCTCCCTCCCCTCCACTCCTCTTTACTACTATTACAATATTATTAAATTTACTATAAGTAAGTGTATATATAACATCATGTGTAAGTTAACATACCTATATTTCCTACAAGTACTCGTACATTGTTCTCATAATCGATATAATATAATCCGATAACGTGTATTGTGTACAAAGTAACATGTAGAGCACATATTAAAAGTATTTTAGTTTTAAAGTAGAATTTTTCTTTTTGTACAAATTATTATTAAATTTCTAAATGGAATACCGTATAATTATCTAACCTTTCAATGAAAATATCTTTATACAAAGTACTCATTCTTATTCATTTATTAATGTATACTTTTGTTTAATTCCCAGTCGGATTTCTAGGAGAATGCTATAGTATAAATGTTGAGATTATTGATCGGTCTCTAATGTTACAATTTTTCTCTTCAATTATAGTGTTTATATGCAGTGTAATTATTCTCTATTAATTTTATTTATGTACACTGTGTGGCAAAAATGCATAATTTTAGTATCAGAGCTAATAAAAGAGATGGAATTTAAGAAAATGATAAAAAAGAATTTTTAAGTAATTCCCTCGCTTGCAGGAAATTCTTTTATAATGATCAGTTCCACGTACTGAACGATCCCCGACGACATGTCAAGAATTGATATCTAAAATAAACGCCAAAAAATTTTTCCAAGTTTTTACGAATAATAATTTTGTATTCGAAAAACTTTGAAAAGGTCGCTCTTTCATTAAGGGATTACTTTTTTTGCAGAATTGTTCTTGCAGGATAATTCAACTAAGGTGAATGCTTTTCTAGACAATTTTGATATCATGAAATCTTGCATTTGCAAGTTGTTTTTATTAAAGTTTTTTAAAGCTAGTACTTTCATTTTAGAGTAAAGGGAAATCTTTTGAAAAATATTTTTAAAGGCTTTTTTATTATTTCCGGCATTTTGTAGTCGAAGTTTTTTATTGGGTATGAAATTTCTATTGGTAATACTTCGGTATTATGTAATTTCGATATTGTGTATAATATGTATATAATATGTGAGTGCTATTTTATAGTTTCTCTTATACTTTTAAAACTATTAAGAATAACAAATTACAATTTTCATTACACTTAAAAATCCAATTGGGTTCTTTAATATTTTTATTAATTTCATTTGTATGTTGACCTTGACATTCCACGTGATTGTGTTATATTCCATATCACAAAGATACATATATACAAAGAAAATTATCCTTTTTAATTTTTAATTCATAAGTTACAAATATACTTGGAATTATATAGAATATTTCAAATATTTGATTAAAAAACAAAAGAAAGAGACAAAACATAAAAAAAAACAAAAAAATAAAAGAAAACTTTTTGTAATGGTCGATACACTTTGACATCTATATGACATTTCAAGAGTGTCAATTTAGTTTACTATTACTAAAAATATTTTTATGTTTATTTTGAATTCTATTTTGTTAAGAAACTTAATTACTTTTAAAAATATTTTTCTATTTTCGGAAATATATTTTATTTTAATTCCTAATTTTTGGAGTTATTTTGATTAAAAAATAATTGTAAATAGTTTTTATTTCCTCAATCGCTATGTGTAGTAAAATTTCTGTCAATCAAAACTTATTTATTATGAATAAATATTTATTTTTATTGCACACTTAACTGTTTCTTTATGATGAAAGAAATGTAAATGTAGTTGTAGATTTGTTTTAAAAGCAGATGTACGATATTTTTATTATAATTAAAATTTATGACAACATTATTTTAAATTCATGACTGATTAATCAGTACAGCACGTGAATCAGAAGCGTGGGATCAATAGGTGACGTACAAGTATGTGTCAAAGTTATGACCTTAAGCATTGAATGCGACTTTGCAAAAGTGAATGCTCTTTTTAGTGCAATCAACTCGATTAATTGTTATTTGCACATAATATTGAAAAAAGAAATAGTACAAACGAATTTTTATTAATTTTTTGTGCCACGGTCACATATTTCATACTGCAGCGCCACAATATTTAATTAAATGGAAACAGGACTTGAAATACGTGCCGAAACTAAGATGGTATTTTGGACTAATGTAGTTTTCCAAGTTTAATCAATAAAATTTTACATTTTAAGTTTGATTATTCACTGAATTTTTGCAATTGTATGTTTTCCTTAATTCACTTAATCGCCGCATGGGGCAAAAGTTATGCGTAACATACGTGTGTTATTGTTAATTCTAGTTGTGAAAATTTTGGTTCTAATTAATAGCAAAAAAAATTTACTTACCATCTTCGCCATATAGAGTTGAATTCGTTCTTAAAACATTCTGATGTGTTAAGTCTGTTGCACCAGTCTCTTGAATTTCTACAATAATTTCTGGTCCCGGCCAGCCTCCACCAGAACCCCATTCTAAATAAAAAACAAAACAAAAAATTTGTAACTACTAATTAATTATTTATGTAAGAATTTAAAAAGCAAAATAAAAAAAAATCAAAAAATTATTAATATTTACCTTCTGTTGATTTAGAGGCCAAATTATTTAAAGTTGATTCTTGTGTCAGACGATCCAGTTTGAATCTAAAATTCCAGCAAAAAAAAAAAACAAAGAAAGAAGAAAATAATTAGGTGAAGCAGTTTTTTGTTATGCAAGTAGGGTTTTTATTAATGCTCTGTGTGTGTGAATATTTGTTCAATATTTTTCTCTTGTTCTCATTCGTGTTCAAATTGCTTTTATCTCTAAGCATACTTGTAATTATCAAAAAAAAATATTTTTAATGTTGCTGAACAGTTGTATCTTGGGTTCTTAGTGTTCTGTTTTTATCTGATTGTAAATATAAAATTCACATTAGATAAGAGAAAATTCTTATATCAGGCACAATCACTTGTTATTAATTATAGATTTTTTAAGACAAATTATTGGTGATGATAACAAATCAGCTTTAAAATTTTAATTTGAAATTTTTTCCCGTAACTCATCATTTGATATCATTTACAATGTTCAAGACTTTATCTAATTAATGTTAAAAACAAATGAACTTAAAGAACTCATACAGCTCGTAAAATACGTTCACTTTTAAGAGGGAACTTTGGGAAATTAGAAAACACTCTATAACACTCTAAATGAGTAACGCTCTAACCGCATAATAGTCACAACAACTCAAGCTTATGTAGAAGATTGGCTCAACGTCAGGAATTTTAGTTCTTACTCATATTCGGTATTAGACATAAATTAGCTGAAAATTTAGTAAAATTCAAAAGTATTTTAGATTTTTGTACACATTCTTCATCAAATTGATTTACAGTTGCTAGTGTAAATAATATTTTCTGTCATGATATTTTCTAATTTATATAATAAATACGAGTGCAATAATAAAAATAATTTTCATAACTGTCATTCATTTATCTTCTTCATATAACCTTTGCTATCGATATTTGAACATAACTTTGCTTTTAAGATAACTCAATTCTCTCTTCAATTCAATATAAAATTCCTAATTATCATTAGGAAATTTACCATCCAATGACAAAAACATGTTTCAAAATATCTACTGGATGAGACTATTAGCGATAAAATTCTAACACAAAGAATTTTTTTAAAAGAAAATTTCATATTTTTCCAATTAATTTTAGTTTCTTGTTAGTAGCGAATAAATTAAGTTTTAATTTTTGACATTTTTTTTTTGATCGACGTTTATAAATGAGAGCATTTTGGAATATGGAAATTTTTATAATTAGAGAAATTCTTTTATTTTTAATAATAATTAACTGTCAAGTGTTTTGTAAAGGTGAGAGACAATTATTATAGAATTTTTATGATCGGACATCTCGGACATTTCGGACATATCGGAACTAAAATATGTTTTAATAAAGTTTTTAATTTTAATTAAAAATAAAATTTTTATTTTATGATATTTAAAAACTGTCTAAAATATTTCAAAAAACATAAGATTAGTGCAATTAATTAAGAAAATAAAAAAAATCCGAAATTGGACAATGAAATATTTTGATGACGTGTGCTTACTTCTAAAAAAAAAATTCAAATTTGAAAATTTTGAGATAATGACAAAGTGATAATGAAAAGTAAAAAACGCTACCAATAACGATAAAGAACTTAATCAGTTATTTAAAATTTTTCGGCATTTGTGTTTCACTACTGCAAGTACATATAAGATCCGACCCTGTAAATATTATGCGAAGTTCGTGTTTATATACATATTATCACACAATGAAACCATTGTCGTTTTTGAAAAAATACTACAACGGGATAGCGACTTTGAGGAACTATAACAAATTAATTTTGTATACTATATAAGTACTTCCTTTACTTGAGGTTATTTCCCCTTAATTTTGTGGAGAATTGTTGTGTCATGCCAATGTGTATATAGAATTTCTCAATAGATGGCTATAATAAACATTAAATTCCTCATATTTTCAATATCAATTTTTAGTTGCTCACAATATATTTTACGTATTAGGGCAAGTAACGGAAAAGCGCTCTCCATTTATAAGCTACTTCTAATTCTATTTTTTTAATAAAACAATTTTCACAATAGGTGTCGCTCTACACAATAAAAATTCTCTTGACTGATGCTAGTTCATCACATTTCAAATTAGTTAATTTACGTATGAAACTATTTACTTTTTTTAGAATAAATTGAAAAAAAAACTTTTTGAATAATAAAAAATGCACATAATTTTGTTGAAAATAATTTAAAAAAATTTTTTTTTTCATTTTTCAAAAAGAATATTTTTAAAGTAGTTTTTATTTTATTATAAGAAAAATTTTGCATATAAAGTAAGAAACTAATGGAATCAATGTCCTCAAAATTTTGTATCTGTACTTTTATATTCGTATACAAAAAATATTATCAGGATTAAGGAGTACCAACATAAAAGAAGCAAAATGTAGTAAAAAAACTTGCATATTTTTATAAGGTGCTGATTTAAAAAAGTTTTTTTTTTCTCTATAAAATTCTAAAAATTTTATAATCAAATCAGGATTTTCATTTTACGTTCCCTTGGTATTAAGGAGACATAAATATTGTCAAGAAAAAAATATATTTTTATTTACTTTGTAACTAAACCAAATATTTCATCATATTCTAGTCAGATGGAAGGAGGAATATTGTAAAGTTTTTACGATCATTTACGTAATTTGAATTTGAAATTTAAAAAAATAAAACTTTTTACTATATGGATACCTGGACAGTTTAATTTATGTATATATTTAGTTCTTATGTATGAGTTGAAAGGTAAAAGTGGACTTTGAAAATAAGTTTTATTAGATTTGTGTGTTGCCATCGTATTCTCGTTATCCATAGGACTATAATTGTCAAATACTGAGTTATTTGCTACTGATTTATTTAACTTTCTAATTTTAGATGACCTAAAATGTTATCAGTGTTCTGGCATAGAAGATTGTGGTACAAAACCAGAAGAAAAATTTTTAAAACCATGTGAAAAGCAAGTAGAAACACAAACATGTTTTGAAGTTGTTAAAGATGATTCAACAATGATACGTGGCTGTCAATCAGATGCAACATATGCTGATTGTAAAAGTTCAGCAGCTAATTGTGTTGAATGTGGTGTATCAGGTTGTAATAATCTTTTAACAACAGTAAAAAAAGCCGAATTAGCATGTCATAAATGTGATAGTAGAAATGATTCATCATGTTTATGGACACTTTACGATCATAATGTTGAAAGATGTAAAAATGTTATACCAAAATATGTTAAAGAAAAATGTTATACGAAAAAAAATGAAGATGGTTCATTTAGTCGTGGTTGCATATTCGATGATAAATTATGTACAAAAGATAATGAACAAAATTGTTTAACATGTGAATTGAATGGATGTAATCGTGATTTTGTACGTGCTCAAGAATGTACACAAATGATTGAAGATGAAAATTCAAAAAATCCAACAAATTTTTATAGAGATTTAGAAAATGATGGATGGGAGGAAGAAGAATATGTAGGAAATGTTGAAGAATTATATTTTTATTCTAATAACAATAATAATAATGTATTGGCAACATACCCGAAACGAGATGGTCGACAATTATTTCAATATCATAAAGCATTATGCACTGCAACCGAACAATATTATAATACTCGAGGTTGTTATGTAATGAGAAGAGGTACAGTTTTTGGTTTGGAATTAAAATGTATGTTTAATAATAATTTAAATTTTGTTTTAGATAAAAAAGTAATATGGGGTTGTGCTGTTGATTTAGAACCAGAAATATTGGATTTTTGTAAAAGAAATGATAAAACATGTAAATATTGTGCGGATGAGGATTGTGAGTATATGAAGGCACCAAATCCAAATGGTAGTCCAGATACAATTGCATTAACAAGTGCTGTTGCTGCTATAACAATATTACTATATTTTTATTTATGATTTTAGTTATGAATTACGTTAATAATTTCATGTTTGATAAAAGAGAATGTCATAAATTAAAATTTTTAGTAATTTTTTAGAATATTGTGTACATGTATGAAATTTATTTTTAGGACCATTAAACAGCAGTTTTAAGGCAGTTTTAAACTACTAGTTGAAATATGTTAGATTTGAATATTATCAAATTTATTTTTCATTCCGAAAAACTGCTGTTCAACAAGTGCACAATTATTTGATCGCATGTGATTTTTACATATGTAGATGTCATAAGTGATCATATGTGGTTTATACATAAAAATGTGAAAATGTTAATAAGTCAATAATTTCTGTTATACAAAAATTTACTTAAGCTTCTTTATTAAAATAAAAATCTTCAATTTTAAATCCCTTTCAGAATTCAATTTAAAAAAGAAATGTTACAATTTTAAGTGAATGTTTATTCAACTCTAAATTAAATTTAAAGAATTCTTGAAATATTTGTCCTGTTAAATTTTTATCAAAAACACGTGCTTGTTCCCTGTTATTAGATATCTATGTAAAACATAATTCAAGGGGGTACGAGAATGGAGTTCAACAAGGATGTATTACTTATTCTTTGGGAATTTTTCTGAATATTTAAAATTTATTTCCAGTCTATTTGATTCGCATGTATAGATCGTAATATCAAATAATTTTTTTGAAACATTTTCTTCTTTTCATATTGTAACAATTTAACAATGAAAGCGATGACTTGAAATGAAGTGTCTATATGTTGATGCTTAAAATATAATATTGGAACATATAAATTTTTATGTAAAATATTCCTCACCTGAATTTAAAATATGATATTTAAATATATAAGCATAATGTACACCAACACAATTATATCTATATGTTTTATAGCAAACTTGTGTGCATACAAATTTTCCAATCATATTTGTGTCAAAGTACTTGAATATAAATTATATAAGGAAGTAAGAAAAAATTGTTATCAAAAAGAAAATATTTTCCATCATCATTTTGAATTTTTATAACAACAAGAAAATAGAGATGTAAGGATATATTATATTACAAGGATATAATTTTCTCGACATTGGAAATCATTTGCAACCATATATCACGGGTGCCAAACGATTTAAGTAAGTAATTTTATGAAAAATCCTCTACGGGTATGAGATGTGATAGTGTAATTGTA